TATCTACCTACCTACCTACCTACCTACCTACCTACCTACCTATTCCATCCAATCAATATTTATCTATCCTTATCTTCTTTCTCCCTCTTCCTCTTCCTCTTCCTCTCCCTCTCCCTGTCCATCCATCCATCCATCCATCCATCCATCCATCCATCCATCCATCCTAGAAACACTTTCTAGGCACGGATCTATGGTGGCCACCCAGCCTACGAGGAAAACCTGCAGCCAGTTGGACTTCCATCCCAGATGGAGGGAAGCACCCTTTCCCCAGAGTCAAATTTTTCATCAGCCCCAGCCGGTTGTCGCCTCACCTGCGGTGATCGATGCACTGCACCACGCGGCCAAAGGTGCCTTCCCCGAGAGTGGTAATGATCTCGTCTGCAGAGGAAAAGGAGACAAGAGGTGGGGGGGGCAGGGGAGGGGAGAAAGAGGAGAGGGTGAGACGCGGGGGGCGGGGCCAGCATCTGGTAGCCAAACAACAAAACATCACCACCAAAATAAATCAAAATAAAAAAAGGAGGCTACCTCACCCCTTTTCAAAGGACCGGTGCCTCCTCCCCTAAACGCTTCATTATATCAATACAGAAAGATATAAAAATGGGAGAGAGGGAAGGAGGCAAAAAGGAAGGGAGGAAGGATGCTTAAAAGGGGGAAAAAAAGAAGGAAGAGGGGAGGGAAAAGACTGCAGTAAAAAGAAAAAAAAAAGGCACTGCAAAGAGGGAGGACAAAAAAAAACACGAGGAAAAGGGAGAAAGCTAAGAACAATTCGGTCACTGCGGCGGGAGCTTAACTAGAGACGGAATTTTACGATTTCGCAGTACATCTCTCTTGGAGACAGTCGCCGACGCGGTAGATGAGGTGGCCCTCCACGTCGTCCTCCACGTTCTTGGCTCTCCTCCTGCTGCTGGGACGACTCTGCTGCCGGGGAGGCCCCCCCCAAAACGCAGCGGCGGTGGTGGTGGTGGCGGTGGCGGGGCAGGCGGGCGGAGAGGGAGAGGGTGTTCAATTCAATTCATTCATTGTGTTCACCCCCGGGCGGCGGCGAAGGGGGGAAGCCAGCCAAGCGACACCCGTGGACACGGTTGGGCCCGTGGCAGATATTGGAGGTGGTGGCGGGACGAATTCCGGGCCAAGTTCATAACGGCACAGAAGGCGTAGAGGTATAAACAATACACAACACACGTGAACAATAAGAGGGGTGGCAAAGAGGGGAAAAGCAACGCTCAACACACACACACACACACACATGCACACACGCACGCCGGCTCGGGGGTGTGTGTGTGTCTTCGCAGGTGGTCCTCGACTTACGACCACAAGGGAGGGCCCCCCCTCCCCAAATTGAGTTTTTCCCCGTTTTACGGACCTTCCTTGCCGCCCTTGTTAACCTGCAGTCGTTAAGCGAATCTGGCTTTCCGCCCTGGATTTGTTGGCCCGGTAGGAAGGTCGCAAAAAAGGGGATGACGTGACCCTGGGGAGGCTAGGCCTGTCGTTAAGTGTGAGCCGGTGGCCGAGCGTCCGATGTTTAAATCACGTGGCTGGAGGGGGGAAGGTGGCGGAACGCTTCGACGGGCGTTTTAAGTGTGGGGAAGCGGTCTTGAGTCCCTTTTTTTTTGGGGGGGGGGGGGGGGGCAGTTGTGACTTTTGAATGGTCACTAAATGAACGGCTGTAAGTCGAGGAACTGCCTGTATATTTTAAAAAAAACAAAAAACCAGGAACCATGCATCGAAATTAGGGAAAGCATCTTCTGCAGACGGGGTGCCCCCCCCCCCCCCCAGAAGAGGACCCCCCAAGGGCCACAATTCAAGTAAAGGTCGGTGATTGGATGACAGAAAAAGGGCCCTTTTCTCCCCCACCACCCGCAATTTAAAGAGAGTTCGGCAATTTAATCACACCAACCGGCGGCAAAACCAGGGTTTGCTGTACAGAAAATCAGGGAGCCGAGAGAATATAATAATAATGATAATAGTCATCATTGCTTTTAGGGGAGGACAGGCAAGCTGGCCCTGAAACATTCTGGCTCCCCAATATCAGAAGGCCGTACCTGGGAAAGGAAGAGGAAGTGGGGTGGGCATGTTGGTCGACCATCACCATCCATGGGTGGGGTTGGGAGAGGTCCTATCACGGCTTGGCGGTTTCCCCGCTTCAAATGCAAAAATGCTTTTTGTCTGCTAAAGGCCAGACCTGCTGGAGGTCATCCATTCTGACCCCTCGCAAAGGCAAGGGTGCCAATGAAGCAGGACGCAGGTGAAGCGGAAAGGAAGGAGTGCCGGGGCTTTCCTTGGGGCAAGAATGGGAAAAGGACCGCCCCGATCGTGTTCCATCCTCTTCTCGAGGCAGAGTCATCCTTTTCAAGGTTTCTAGTCCCCATGAAGGAGCACTCTTGCTACTTGCTATGTGTACAGGCAAAAGACAGACTCTAGCACATCCACACACACACCTGGGTAGGTTGTGGGTGTGTGTGGAGGGGTGGGGGGGATTAAAAGATTTCGAAGAGGCCAAAGCCTCTTCGCCCTGTACGGGGGATTCTGCCCGCTGGGCCTAACAAGGTGTTTGAAACTTTCAGCTGCCAGACTGTTTTTGAAGGCAGAGAAGTTGATGAAATGAATCGATGTGATCGACTATCACCCAATGCTCAGAAATGATCTATCTATCCATCCACTCTGCCCGATTTATACGGCTATCGAACCAACGATGAAAGAACAATAAAAGAAAATGTGACGGCAGGGTCATCAGATCCAACCTGACTCACCCGAGACAGTGGAACCGGGCAAGCACGTAAATGTCATCATAAATAAGTTTAATGAATTGGCCCAAAACATCAGGGGGAAAAAAGCACCAGGGTTTTCTTTTTTTTTTAAATGCTTTTGAAAAGGTTAATGGGGTTGGAGAAGGGGGGCAGCTTTATTTACAAAGATAAAAATTTAAAAATTTATTTACAAAGAGCATTTAATAAATTAAAATTTTATTTATTTATTTAAAAATTTATTTACAAAGAGCAGGGGGCAACCAATGAAAAGACTCCGATCGGAAGCGTTTTACTTTGAAATTCTTCACAATAAATAAATATAATATTCTGCGTTGTATGAAGGCTTTTAAAAGCCTCTTCTCCTAGTATCGTGCAGCAGAAACTTTAGAGAAGGACATTCTTTAAAAACCACATTTTTACACACACACACACACCACCTTTCCCCAAGCTGCCAGTACTGCCAGTCCCAGAAAGAAATGCCAATTGTCAAGCAACTCGAAAGAGACGGGAAGGTTCCCTAGGACAATTCCAGAATGCCGTTCCTAGCGCCATTCCAGAGACCCGGAGAAGCCGAAGAGATTCTGGCGCCGCCTGGATCGAAGGATCGGAAGAGGCAGGGATTTACTCACCGAGGAGGAACGGCTGAAGGAGCGGCTTCCGTGCCGTCTCCGTCGCCGTTTCCGCCGGTTGCTCTTGCAGTTCCGGTAACTGCCATCCCGGGAACGCTGGTACTCATCCGAAGGGTGGTATTCGGGCTCGTAGTAGGCATCGCCGCCCCGGTCGCTGTAGCCGTCTCGCCGGTAATCCTCCAGGTATCGCCGGTCGTAGGCACGTCGGTCGGACGAGCGATCGTCGTAACTGGGAGGAAGAGGTGATCCAGAAAACCATTGATGACTATGTTGTTCGTTGTTTCATGACCCCCATAATCCCTTGCGGGGTGGAGCCTGGGCAACTGAATGGAGCGGAGTGTTTTGATTGGCCGGATGCCCTTCCTGTTGCCGGTGTGGAGTTTTGTTCAGCAGCTACATTCTCATCATGCTTAGCGAGAGAAACATCTGCCTCTACCTAGGATTGAACTCACAGCCTCCTGATTGTGATGTGAGAGCTACACCTCTAGGCCAACTCACCACTCCTCCAGAAAACAGACTGAACATCGGAAGTGATGAACAATTGGGCTTAACGATTAACAATGAGGCTCAAACGGTCATAAAATCAGGCACGGCTCACTTAACAACCATCTTGCTCAGGAAGGCAGGTTCTGGTCTCAATCCTGGTTGAGAACAGTTCGTATAGTGTCCGCCTGAAGTTACAGCAGCACCGGAAAGTGACTTTACGGCTGTTTGTCACACTTACAACTATTACAGCACCCCCCTGGTCACGTGATCAAAATTTGGCCGCTTAGCAACTGACTCATACTTACGACGGTTGCAATGTCCCCAGGTCATGTGATCCTTTGGGCAACTTTTGACAAGCACAGTCTACGGGGAAGCCAGATTCACTTAAGGACCGCATGGCTAACTTTAACTGCAGTGATTCACGTAATAACTGTGGCAGAAAGGTTGTAAAATGAGGCAAACTCAACTCAGCCACTTATAGCCGTGGAAATTCTGCGAGGACAAACTGCATCGAAGGCTTCTCCTCGCAGGGTCCATTTTGGGGACCCGCTCACTCACCTCCGGGATCGGACGTGATAGCTGTCCTCTCTGTGACGCCACCGCTCACTGCTACTCGAGTGGGAACGGCTCCGTCGCCGCTTGTGCTTACGGCTGCGGTAACACTCGCGGTAGCTGCCCCGGCTGCTACGTTCCGAAGACAGAAACCTCCGAGAACGAGGCATCTGCAAGGGGAGGAAAAAGAGTCAAAGGACCAGCTGGAGTGGCTGACCCTTAAAAGGGGTAAGAAACAGGCAAAACCAACAACAGCCGCCATGTATACAACCCCCCTGCAAGGTAGGTCAGTCAGAAGGAAAAAGGAAGCCAGGTCTAATTCTTCCCCACCTCATTCCTTTAAAAAAAAAACCTTTCTATAAGTTTTGGGCAGGGGTGGGCTGCTGGGGGTGGTGGTGTTTCATGGGGGTTTGGGACATCCTCTAGCTTAGATTCTGTAGAATTCTGAGAACCCCAAAATCCCACTCCTGGCTGGCCCTCCCTGGACGTTCAGGAAAGCCGGAAATGGCCCCGTTTCAATATTTCACCCCGTTACGTTCATGTTGAGATTCATCCTAAAAGGCCTGAAGAGCAAGCAATACATTCCCTCGGAGAAGACATTCCGCCAACTATTTTAACTGGTCAAAAAAAAAATATCCCTAATGGTTGGGCAAGTTCAATTTTTACATCTAAATAATGGCTTGCTCTAGATCCAGTCGGATTGAAGTTGGCAATAGCAGCATCTTATCTCTCTAAAAAGTGGAATAAAAAGGACTCTAGCCATGATAGGCCAAATTGTGGCTAAAAATGATGACATCATTGTCTTAGTTAAAACTTCAAGAAAAATGCATTCCTTGCAGAAAAAGAGGAATATTTTTGGTTTCCCGCTTCCAGAGAGTCCGGGGAGGGCAAAAATCACCCCCCCTGCCCCACCTAGATAATCCATTTGCTAAATTTTTTGAAGCCCACCCTGGTTTTGGGCCCATCCATTCATCCCCTAACCTTTAAAACCCCCCAAGAACCATTTGGACCCATTTCCCACAGGGAAAAAAAACAACCACCCCAGGAGCCATAAAACCTGGGTGGGCGTGGCCAACTCAACGTCACTCACTCACTCCCAGTCACATGACCACCTAGACCCGCCTACTCAGCCACAAAACCCTCCTCTCTCGCTCAGTCTCTCTGTCTCTCTCTCTCTCCCCCTTTCCTAGATTATCCCATACAACCCTGTCAGGTAGGCCAGCATTTACAGCCAGTCCTCGACTTACGACCGCAATGGAACACACACACACACACACACACACCCTTCCAAATTTATGTTGTTAAGTGGGTGTCGTCCCATTCGATGAGCTTTCTTTGTCCCAGTTGTTAAAGCGGATCGCGGCAGGAAATAAGGTTGTTAAGTGAATCCGGCTTCCCCTTTGACTTGGCTGGTCGCAAAAGGGGATTCCCCACCCACCCACCCCCGTCGTAAATACAAGTCAGTTGCCAAGCGGCGGGAATTTGGACCGCAGGGATGCCTGCAACAGTCGTTCAGCGTGAAAACCGGTCCCGGGTCCCTTTTTTCTTCCCAGCACCCTTGTTAGCTTCCAGATGGTCGCTAAGCGGGACGGTTGTAAGTCGAGGACGGCCAGAAGAGGGACCCTCTTTCATCTCTTTTGAGTTTTGAGCACGCCAGACCCCGGGGATCCTAAGTGTGAAAACGGGTCCAAAGCCCCCCCCCTTTTTTTCCCTCCAGCACCGTTGTTAGCTTTGAGACGGTCGCTAAGCAGGATGGTTGTAAGTCGAGGACTACCTGTCATTGGGTATCGAAGGAAGCTGCCCGTCTCGCCCGCTGAGCGAGGCTGAAAAGGGAGCCCAAATCTCGAACCAGCCCCCACCCACCCCCTCTCCAAATCCCGTGTCCTCCTCAGGTATGATTTCCTTGTGGCCTCCTTTCCTCTCCCCCAAAGGCCGAAGAAAAGCAAACTGCTGGCTCCAACAGAGATCTAATCTAGACAGATCCTTCCTTTTCCTCGACTTTATTCCTTTTTCTTTATTCGTATATAGAATTCGTTCTTTTTTTAAAAAAACCTTCATTTTTAACGCCATGGGCCAGGGACGGCCTACCTGGCAGGGCTGTTGTGCACCAATCGCCCCGGGAGGAATCTTATTCGGGTTTTTGAGGCTGGGTCGGGATGGAGGCCTCCCCGGCTCCTCCGACGACCTCTCCCGGGCCTGGTTCGGGGTCCCGGAGAGCCGCCGGCGCCGCGGCCCCGAGGCCTCCCCCAACCCAGCCCCGCCGCCTCGCCTCACCCTCTTGGCCGTCAGCCCGGTGCGTTTGTCCCACAGGAAGTCCGTCTTGGCGGCGGCTGGTCCTTTTCCCGCCCGCCCGTCGTCGTCGTCGTCGTCGCTTCGCCTCAGCGTCCCCGCCGCCGCCCGGGGTCGCTCTGAGGAAAAGGGGCTGAGGGGAAACGGGAGGAGAAGCCTACCGCGCATGCGCCGCCGCCACGCACGGAAGGCGTAGGCGCGTCACAAAGCCGCCGGAACGTCCCCTTGCGCATCGGAGGATCGTCAAACAGCAGACAGGACGGTCCCGTGGGGGATGTACTTGCACCGGCAGTTTCCGGGTGCGCTTCGCAAAAAACGTCTCCACGCCTCCAACTTTGGTGTTTTTTTTTTAATGTTTTATTTGTAATTATCCTTTAACAGCCATACATATTTTGTGGACAATGTATGGACTGGCTCAATATACTTTTTACACAATGCTAACAATAACAAATACATATGGTCATAGTCTTCCAACTTCTGATCTTAACATGAATACAATAGAATAGGAATAGAATACAATAGAGTTGGAATAGAATAAGAAATAGAATAGAATAGGAAAGAATAAAGGAAGAATAGAATAGAAAATGAATAGAATAAAAAATAATACAAGAAAGAATAGAATAGAACAGAACAGAATATTACAATAGAATAGAGTAAGGAATAGAATAGGAATAGAATAAAGAATAGAATAGAATAGAATAGAATAGAATAGAATAGAATAAGAAACAGAATAAGCAATAGAATAGGAATAGGAATAGAATAAAAAAAGAATAGAAGAATAGAAGAGAATAGAAAATGAACAGAATAGAATAGAAAATAAATAGAAGAAAGAATAGAAGAAAAAAGAATGGAAGAAAGGATAGAATAGAACAGAATATTAGAATAGAATAGAATAAGAAATAGAATAAGCAATAGAATAGGAATAGAATAAAGAAAGAATTGAAAAATAGAAGAGAATAGAAAATGAACAGAATAGAATAGAAAATAAATAGAAGAAAGAATAGAATAGAATAGAATAGAATACTAAATTAAATATTCTGTTAAAAACTTGGATTGGGCTCCTTATATTTTGCCCACGTCCTTTAGGGGTCTTGCTCTTGAAAGCTAAAATATAACTTTTACGAAAAAAATCCAGAACGATAACGAAAACTAAACCCCTCGTCTTATTTTATTTTCTCTATATAGAGATAAACAAACGGAGCTCAAACACGCGTGCGCAGTAGAGACAAGACTTCTGCCTCCGCATCCTCGCTAGCGATTGAATGGAGGGGCGGGGAAAATTCACCGCCACGCCCCCCCGAGCCACGCCCCTTCCCAGGCACCAAGTTCCACGTGGAGGGAAAAACATATATTAACAAAAGCAACTTTCCCACGCGTGGAAAGTAATACAATGAATAACTCCTGCGGGACTAATTCTTATTTCCATAAAAATATTGCTATTGCTTATTCATTTATGTAAGTTTTGTAAATTAAATCAATGCATTTGTATAAATGTGATAAATAATAAATCAAATAGGTAATCGTTACTTGTAAGAATAAGATTTATTATATTATAAATTATTATAATATTATTATAAGTGCAATATTAATGCAATATCAGGGGTTTTCAATTCAATGTATAGAATGTGAAGGATGTGTGTTTGTGTTTATTTTCATAGCCACAATGTACACTGAAGATGGTATTTAATTTCGCCACCTTCAGGTCTGGGATCATAATAAAAGATCTATTGATCGTGCCTCGACATTAAGAAAACTAAGATCCTGGCATCCAGCCCTCTCAATTCCTGGTAAATAGATGGGGGGGGGAAATAGAGGTAGTAACACATTTTATTTTCCTGGGCTCCACTGCAGATGGGGACTACAGCCAAGAAATTAAAAGACGCTTGCTCCTGGGAAGGAAAGCTATGGCAAATCTAGACAGCTTACTCCAAAGCAGAGACATCCCCTTGCCAACAAAAGGGTGTAGAGTCAAGGCTGTGGTTTTCCCAGTTGCAACGTATGGCTGTGAAAGTTGGACCGTAAGGAAGGCTGAGCGCCAAAGAATGGAGGTCTTTGAACTCTGGTGTTGGAAGAGACACCAACGAGTCCCTTGGACTGCATCAGAAAAATAGTGGGCCCCACAGGAACGTTCAGTGCTCGTTGTGGGCACCCTCACAAAATGGTGTCCAAGGTGGGCATGACCAGAATAGAGCATACCAGAAGGCTAAGCTGTAGAGATGCCTTTTTTTTTATTATCTAAACAGGCTTCTGGGTTTGGCGCTTTGCTTTTCTGCCAGTTACGTCGCCTATACTTTTGGTGTTGATTCATTAAAGAGGATTTGAAGGCATTAAAATAAGGATTGGCCAAGGTGTTGGCTAATGCTCCGTGACCCCTAGACACAGCCAGGATTTAAAATAATCCATCCACAGACAAACAACTCTTGAAAGGGATCCAGAAAAACGACACCAAAGAGACTATCCTGTGATGTCTTATGAAATGTTTATTTTTAAGCTTGCCACACTTTGCCTGCAGGAGGGGAAAAAAATAAATGAGGTGATTATCTGAACAATAAGTAACATGTTTAGTTTGGGCAAAAATAGCAATTGGAACAACAGCAGCCAAAATTGTAACAGTAGAACAGAACTGTTTACAGGAATAGCCACAAATATGCAGGGTAGGTTTGTAAATGTGTGGTTACATTGATTTTTTTCCCCCCGTTTGTGTGTCCATAAAAGCCTCTTCTTTTACAGGGTAACTAAATTTCTGCTGACCAGAAGAAATGCGTGGAGGTGGCTGCCATTATAGATGACAAAAATTAAACAAGATTACACAAAATTTAATAATTCCTCCTTCCTTAAGAAGTATCATTGCCACCTTCACAAACCTGTCCTAACACATGCCACTCAACATATTTAATTATCATCGGCTGGATTTACAGAACAGGTTATGCTATAAATATGCCATTTGCAGAACGATTGGGTTCTTAGGCTGGAAGATCACTTCAAACCAATTCCAAGCTGACTTTAAGAATAGAATAGAATAGAATAGAATTAGAATACAATAGAATTAGAATAGAACAGAAAATAGAATAGAGTAGAATTAGAATAGAATTAGAATTAGAATAGAACAGAATAGAACAGAACAGAATAGAATAGAATAGAATAGAATAGAATAGAATAGAATAGAATAGAATAGAATAGAAAATAGAGTAGAGTAGAAAATAGAGTAGAGTAGAGTAGAATTAGAATAGAATAAGAATAAAATAGAATCGAACAGAATAGAATAAGGAATGGAATGGAATGGAATAGAATAGAATAGAATAGAATAGAATAGAATAGAATAGAATAGAATAGAATAGAATAAGGAACAGAATAGAATAGAATAGAATAGAATGGAATGGAATGGAATGGAATGGAATGGAATAGAATAAGGAATAGAATAGAATAGAATGGAATGGAATGGAATGGAATGGAATGGAATGGAATAGAATAGAATAGAATAGA